TGTGAGCATGGATTTCGTTGTGGGACTTCCCAGGACCCAGCGTGGTTTTGATTCAATCTTCGTAGTGGTTGATCGATTTTCAAAAATGGTACATTTCATCCCTGCAAGAAGACTACAGATGCTGTCAATGTAGCCTTACTGTATTTTCGTGAAGTTTATCACCTTCATGGACTGCCTACATCTATTGTGTCCGATCGGGATACTCGTTTCCTCAGCCACTTTTGGCGCGGCCTATGGCGCTCTGTGAATACACGGCTAGACTTCAGCAGTGCATATCACCCTCAAACAGATGGTCAAACAGAGGTTATTAACCGTTCCTTAGGTGATTTACTACGTTGTTTGGTTGGTGATCACATCAAGTCTTGGGATCAGAAGTTGTGTCAAGCAGAATTCGCTCACAATCACGCTGTTAACCGAAGTACAGGTTTTAGTCCGTTCCAGGTGGTGTATGGCCTTGTTCCTCGTGGTCCTCTTGATCTGGTTCCAGTTTCTACTTATGTTAAAATGCATGGTAAGGCCGAAGACTTTATTCAACAACTGCAGCAGGTTCATTCATAGGCTCATGATCAGTTACAGGCTGCTGTCGCTGAGTATAAGCGTCCTACGGATCTCAAGCACCGACATGTTGAGTTTGAAGTAGGTGACTTTGTTTGGGCGGTGTTAACAAAGGATCGTGTTCCTGCTCATGAACACAACAAGCTTACTGCGAAGAAGATTGGTCCATTGGAGGTCATTAAGAAGATCAATCCAAATGCTTACCGTTTAAAGCTGTCCAGCCATATTCGTACCTCCGACGTGTTTAATATCAAGCATTTGGTGCCATTTCATGGTGATAATTCTGGTGATGATGATGAAGCTCCTTTCCCGTCAAATTCGAGGGCGAATTTTTCTCACCCTGGGGAGAATGATGAAGTGCATAAGGGATTAGAGTTCATAGCAAAATGGGACCATCACAAGGCAAAAGTTGGCAAAAAGGGCAAATGATTTCATGATGACTTTGGGTTTGCTCGTTTTTGGCAAATCGCTAGTCTATTTTGATTGGAGCCGAGCCAAGGAATAAAACTCAGCGCCTTCGGCCCTGACGCAAGGCCAGTTTCGGGCAAAATCCATCGTTTAGGCCCTCGTTTAATCGTTTTTGCTATTTATGGTAATTTTCATTTTTGCAATATCTCTTTCTATGAAATTTAGATTTAGATTCCGTTTGTTGGAGGATGATCCTGAAGATAAGTATTTTCCATCTTAGTAATTATCTCGTATTTTTCATTTTTGGAAAAAAATATCTTTTATTTTATTTTCCGAATTTTTCGAGGTTTTTCTTCTATTTAATCAGTTGTAAGCCCTTAGAGGCAGTAGTTCTTGAATTCAATAAAATCTTCCTTGAAAATTTTCTCAATTTGTCTTCATCTTCCCTATAATATTTCCGCTACGTCACTATACAACCTCTACCTCATTTCTTATGTGCATCTGTTACAGAGTATATCTTTTGATATAACAAATCTCGTAATGCAGTGCTATTATTTTTCAAGTTATTTGTATAAAACCTTCATTTCACACAAAATTGTTCAAATCGTTATATAATTTTTATATGAAAATGAGTTCAAATCTTAGCTCAAGTGGTAAGAGCAGAGTCTTACTAGTTACTTGAATTCGAGTTGAACTTAAGGTGAGTGAAGTTTAGAAAATAAAAAATAAAATTGTGAAAAAAAAGTTGCTAAGATTCGGTAAATTTAAATTTTAATGCCGACTAATGCGTTTAACATATGTTTATTGCGACTTTCGTTATTAACATAATCCACTAATAGGAACTTGCAAAAATAAGTAGAGTAGTTTTTTCCTCAATTATCATAGTCAGCAAAATCAGTTGATGGGGTATAGATTCTTTAAAATTCATTTTTTTTCCAAGTTCATTTTTTTTAGTACTATATTCTTTTAATAAAATAATTTTACACTTGAACTGATAACTTTTTATTTTTCTTTTTATTTTTAATTCCACATTCAAAAAAATAAAAATAAAAAATCAACTGATCACAAAATCTCCGAAAAATCACCAAAATATTTAGAACTCTTTTAAATATTTTGCTTAAATCTCAAAATATCACTAAACATTTTTTCAGGTTTGTTTGACGCAAATTTTTTAAGAATAAGTTTTGTAAATAATAATATTTTTCAAGCATGTGATTAAAAAATAGAAAATAATTATAAATATAGAGTTAAAAATGAAGTTGAAGAAAAATAAAAGAAAAATTGTAGTGGAGGTACAAAACATTTCGTTTATTATCAGACTTGACCCAAACATTTCATTTTGTGTCATCTACGATACCAAATCTTTCAAAAATTCGCAGTTTCAGTCCAAGTGGATGGAAACTGTCAATTTGACTGTTTGTTGATCAAAGAATTAACATTGACAATAATTTTGACTAATTTTAAAAGGATAAAATTGTAACTTTACATTTTTCAACAAAAAAAATACATACAATATATTAGTAATTAAATAAAAAAATACTATTCATTTTCTTCTCCATTTACCCCACCCCCACCCCCACCTGCGCATCCATCCCAAAATCAAAACCCACCAAAATCGACTCCCACCAATGGAATTGCCAATAAATGGCATAAGTCATGAATCCGGCAAAGCCCTTGATGCACTCCTAAATCTTTACCTGATACAATGAACTTTGACAACACCTTATTTAAAAGTGGACCAAAGAATATACTCAACACATTCACTGCCTAATGCACTCTCCACCATAGCCTTCTCCTCTTCATTTAACCAAAATTTACCCTCCATCTTTCTACAACTTAAAATATCTTCAAAAGATTCTTTATTTACAAAGAGCATTTTATGCATAATAGAGAGTATCTTTGAATTTAGAGAGTAATTTTTTTATACTCTTCAACAAGTTCTTTACTTTGATTTTTTATTTTGTTTTTTCCAATAAACATTTAATAATTTCATCACATATTTTATTAAAGTATAATTTTTTATATATTAATGACCGATCAATTTAATTATAATTTAAAATTTTTATTATAAAGTATTTAAATTTGAAATGTATTAAATGCAATCATTCTACATTAAGAATAGAGAGTGAGTTTGACTCTCTAAATTCAAACACATTTTTAATTTTAAAAAATTAAAATAGAATCTCTTGGAACTCATTTTTAAATATTGACTCTCTAAAATAAAGAGTATTTTGTATTTAAAGAGTCTTTTGAATATACTCTTAGAAAACTAGCTTTCTCAAGTAAAATTAAACAAATTCTAATACAGGAGTTTGCACAAAAAAATCAACAACCCAATTCTATATCCTATTCAAAGCGTAGATTCATACTCAAAAAAGAAGAAAAAACAACAACAAAATTCAGCATGAATACTTAATACTACGCTTGGGGTTCAATAACAAATAACACATTCAACTCCTGTTTGTTTCTCATTCTTTCCCTATTAAAATAAAAAATATGATTTTTATCAATCACATCAAGTTATCAAATTTGAATTTTTATCTCTTATGTGGGGTTCATAACGACTATATTTTTCATTCTCATTTTTACAAAAATGAGAAACAAACACCCCCTCAATCTTTCTTTTCTAGAGATTTCGATGGGTTTTGGTTTTGGGGTGGATGTGAGGGGTGGATGGAAAAGAAACTTAATAGTGTTTTTTTTCTTAATTATTAATATATTGTAAGTATTTTTTTTATTGAAAAAAATGTAAAATTACAATTTTATCTTTTCAAAATTAGTCAAAATTATGGTCAATATTAATTCTTTGGTCAACTAACAGTCAAATTAATAGTTTTTATCCATTTGGACTTCAACTATGAATTTTTGAAAGATTTGGTATCGTGGATGGTATAAATGAAAGATTTGAGTCAAATATGCTAATAAACAAAAGATTTGGTATCTCCATCGCAATTTTTTCAAAAATAAATTTAGCCCTTGTTTGATCCTCATTTTGAGGAAAATAATGGATTTTGAATAATAGATTATGGAGAATATATGGATAAAAATTAAAGAAAGTTTTGGATTTTTTTATAATATTAATTTATTGAAAAATATGTGGTTGAAAATAAATTTTGAAAAAATGAATTTTTAGAAGAAATGGCTTAAAGAAGGTATGTATGATTCGTAATCTCCATCCACGTGTCCTTAAATTATTTTCATATAAATAGGCTATGAGGCACGAGCCCATTTTTTTCCACCCTTTCCAGGTTTTGTTTTGTTTCGTGTTTTTTGTTTTTTTATTTTTTTTATTTCTGTCTTTTTCTTTATTCTTTCTTTTTCTTTCGAGGCCCATTTCGTTCTCTCTCAACAATTCCTAATCAATTTTCGAACCCTAGAAAGTATTTATCCTTTCGATCGAGTAAAATCACGATCATTTGAAAAATGGAGAACCAGAGGCTGAAGCAACAGCAGCAGCAGGCGTTGATGCAGCAGGCTCTCCTTCAACAGCAGTCTCTTTATCATCCTGGCCTTTTAGCTGCTGCTCCCCAGGTTTAATTTTTTCACTATTTTTTATTTTTATTTGAATATTCATCATTTTTTGTTAACTGCGTTTGCTGAGGTTCTCCACGTATTGCGAACTTGCAATAGTGGTTTAAGAAAATAAAATCGTTTTGAACCGATCAATTCTTGGGTTCTTGTGACTATCAATTATTTAATTGCGGTTTTTCTTTTTTGCAATTGCAACATGTCAATGAATTTGAGATTGATGATTGTTAGTTGCTCTGTTGGGATTCCAATTTTGTTTATCTTAATTTTGCATCAGCTTCCTTTCTAAAATCAACTTATTGTTTTTAAAATCTGCATTTTTTTATAGTTGAAATCGCGTGTCTAAGGGTCGGGCACATGAAGTTTCGAAATTATTTTATGAATTTATAGCTTATGCGATAAATTCTTGAGATTATGTAGTTCAACTCCCATGTTGGTCCTTTTTTCTTCTGGGTATTTTATTTACCCCAATATCCGTCTGGACACAGTAACGTTCTTTGTAATCTTTGATTTCCGCGGTTCACACACTTACTTTCTATTTTCCTTCCTTTGATCTTCATTTTCATCTGTAATCTATGTTTTTGGGGCTTGAATATCTTTTAAGGCTAAATAAATGGGGGAGCAGGAAGTTAATGGGTTGGATTTAGTGAAGTTAAATATTATCTCGGAGCTCTGTAGTTGGGAGCCATTATGTTATAAACATTTAGCTGATGCAGAAGTGTAAAACAAGAAATTGGCGTGGGCTTAGAAAAAAGAAGTTTGAATAGAAGTAACACTCCCTCTGCTCCATAAATATAGGCTTGGTTCCATTTTTTTACGGATCTAGATAGTGTAATTAATATAGTTAGAAATATGAGCCCTTATTTGGCCCCATTATAATGAGAATTTAAAAAAAAAAAAAAAAGTATTCTGGAATGGTAATTTTTTTTTGAAGAATGTGTGATTATAAAAAAAGAAAAAGTTTTGGGTTTATGTGTAATATTATTTTATTGGAGAATGTATGGTTGATAAGAAAAGAGTGAGAAAAATGAATTGTGATTTTAATGGGGGCCAAACATGGGCTAAATGTAACTTACAATTTTCCTATTATATACCTACATTGAGTAATTGTTAATGCATATTTGTTGATTACAAGGCACGTTAAATAGGAGCATATAAGATTGAGAAATTAACTATACATTCAAAAATGAAAGAAACCTATAATTTGGGCCTGATTAAACTTTTATGGGACGGAGGGAGTATGAGCCTACTGCTCAGTTGTTAATTGCCCATGTGGAGATTTCTGTTTAAAATGATCTTAGATAAGTTATAAACTTTGGTTTGAAATATTGAACAAATTCAGAGCTGTATGTTTGACTTTTGGTCAAGTATATAATTTCATTTTGTGATTTGAATATTTTACTTGTTGCATTTTAATCTTCTTTTGTTGTTACTTGTAAATATCAAGGTTGATGCTTGATATTGGCCGATGAAAGAAGCTCTTTTCTTTGTTTTCATTATTTCTTTCGTTTTGAATTTTTTATTTTTCAGATTGAGCCAATCCCTAGTGGAAATTTGCCTCCTGGATTTGATCCAAGTACATGCCGCAGTGTGTAAGTGTTGTTCAGACATTTCTGTTTCTTCTTCTCTTTGCTGCATGCTTTCTTTACTTGTGCAGCGTATGCAACTTGTTCGTCCTTAATTTTTGCTATATACATGATGATGTTGTATGGGTTGATGCTTCATTAGATACTTTCTTGTTTTACTCATTTACCTCACTAGAGCTAATATTTTATCGCATATTCAGTGCCTCTGTGATTACTTTTTGGGACAAATTTTATTCTCATTGTTCATCAGTTTGACTTAGAGTGATGTTCTCTTATTTGTTATCATCTCATTTCATGATCTATGGAGGGGTTCTTATAGATTCTTCTATTTTCTTTGTTTTCTTTTCTTTTTAAACTTCTAGGTTTTTTATTTCTGAGAAAATGCAGGTATGTTGGAAACATTCACATCCAGGTGACTGAACCACTTCTTCAAGAAGTTTTTGCAAGTACTGGTCCTGTTGAAGGCTGCAAGCTCGTTAGAAAAGAAAAGGTTCAGTCTGTGTGCTGATTTTCGTGATTTCTTAATGTAGTTTTGAGGCATTCCAATTCTTGATCACATCATTTTGATGTATTTATTTTTCTCTGTGCAGTCGTCTTATGGATTTGTTCATTACTTTGATCGTAGATCAGCTGCACTTGCAATAATCTCCCTCAATGGAAGGCATCTGTAAGTTTCAAGCATTGAAAATTCAACTGAAATCTTGCTTGGTTTACACCTTTATATTTATGACTTATTTTGTGATTTTCAGGTTTGGGCAGCCTATCAAAGTTAACTGGGCATATACCAGTGGTCAGAGGGAGGACACATCAAGTAAATCCATAGATTTATGTTTTCCATACTTGTGATTTTAGTTGCTTTTGCACCTGATTGGGCATTGTATGGATGTTCACTGTGATGATATTTTATGCATTTTATCTAGGCCACTTCAACATTTTTGTTGGTGATCTGAGCCCAGAGGTTACTGATGCCATGTTGTTTGCATGCTTTTCCGTCTACTCTAGTTGTTCGTAAGTCTCTCTCTCCCCTCCCTCCCTCTTTTGTATGAGTTTGTGCCATCTCTTTCTTGAAATTCATTGTTGTAGGGTGCTTCTCTCTGTGTAGTCTTGTGGTGTTCAGTAGGGGAGAGGTGGTAGCAGCCCTTGGTTGTCGAGTTTGTTCAAGTGTGGAACAAAAAAGAAAATTGATTAAAAAGTCTTGCCACTGTGTAGAGACCAATTTATTTGGTCAAATAAATAGTTAATTCTGCTATGTACTGTGTATTAGATCTTTTCAAGAGGTGCTAATTTTTTATTGGTCTTAGTGATGCAAGGGTTATGTGGGACCAAAAAACTGGACGTTCGAGGGGGTATGGATTTGTCTCTTTCCGAAATCAGCAGGTTCGTTTTAGACTTTTTGTTTATTATTATTTCTTGAACTAATACCCTTCTATGCTTATTTAATGTTTAATTTCTGTGCAGGATGCCCAAAGTGCAATCAATGATCTAACTGGTGAGAAAAATGTTGAGCAATCATTCTCCACCGGTTCCTGTTGCACTGTTTCTTATGATTTTTTTTTTTCGATTTCTTGGCTTGAAAGTTATGTTGTGATTCTTCTAATAAGTAAATGAACACAAAGAATTGTTAATTTACTCGCTTCTGTTTCCATGACAACCTCTTAGGAAAATGGCTTGGCAGTAGACAGATACGTTGCAATTGGGCCATGAAAGGTGCTGGTGCCAGTGATGACAAACAGAATTCAGATGTTAAAAGCTTTGTGGAACTAACGAATGGCTCCTCAGGTGAATGAGTCTTTAGGAGAGAATTGACAATTATAATAATGAGAAACAGTTAGAAAGTTATCTTTCGCAAAGATTTTGACTGGTTGTCATTGCTTGAACCTAAAAAATCTAGGCTTGCAATATTATATTACTCTAGTTCTTTAAGAGTCTGTTCTGCCATGGGAATTTTGTACAAATCCACAAATTTCCAAGTAAAATATGTTCATTTGTTGATATGATATCACATAGGAAATGATAATTCAATAGATTGAGATTTCTATTGAGATTGAATTGGAAATCTATATTTTGTATCTCTAGTAGACCCTCTTGTTATTAAAAGCAAATAGCTTTAAATTCTTATTAGTTAATTTTTGAGTTGAAATTTATGGAATAATGTAATGTTGAGAACTCATAAATGGGGCCCTAATAGAAACCTATATTCCAGTTTCTGGAATTTCATAAGCCATTTCCAGCTGGAGCTTTCTGTCTAGGTGGAATTTTGTGATTCATTCGTATTAGTTGACACCAATTGAGAGTTTGATTCATTTTTGGGTTTTTTCCCTTTTTCTTTTCTTTTTTTCCTTTTTAAAATTTTTTTCTTTTGCAGAAGATGTTAAAGAGGCTGCAAATAGTGATGCTCCTGAGAATAACCCTCAATACACTACTGTGTATGTTGGCAATCTTGCTCCAGAGGCAAGCAACACTTCACCTTTGACAGTTTGACTTGTCCCACCACCCAAAAAAGAGTGTAAAGCTGGTCACTTCAATGTGAACATTTGGTTTGTGTGATGCGAGGGTTTTTGTTCATGTAGTACATGAAAATTCAAGGGAGGAGTTATACGGGTTCCTTTAGTTCGGATTCGACATTCATGTTTACATCTCCTATTTGATTCTCAAATCCCAAAAAACCCAAAAAAGAGACAGTTTAGATCCCTTGAGATATTTGATAAATAGTAGGAGATTAGCATGCACATTCAATTTACTCAAACTTTACCCATTTACTCTTTCTGCATGGGATTCTGTTTCTTGAAGCTTCTGCAACATGAGAATTTATTTGAGTATCTAAATCCTTGAACTTCAAATTTCATGACACTTTCTGTTCATGCCTTCATTTCTTCAGGTAACCCAGGTTGACCTTCATCGCCACTTCCATGCACTAGGTGCTGGAGCAATTGAGGAAGTTCGGATTCAACGTGATAAGGGATTTGGTTTTGTAAGATACAGTACCCATGCTGAGGCAGCTGCAGCCATTTCAATGGGAAATACACAGTCGTTTCTTTGTGGCAGACAGATTAAGGTTTGTCTTCATGATTACTTGTCTGTATGCAAGAAAGTAGATAATCTAGATGGGAAAAGAAGTGTTTTGTTTGTTTTTTTTTTTTTCCCCCTTCCCTCTGAAGTCTAATTTGGATTTACTATGTGCTTTGCGGGCATTTCTTGAGTTTGTGTCAGATCTGTGCATCCGTAGTGTCTGCTTCGCCTTTTCTTTCTTTACCAATAGCAGAATCTTGTGTGTATGATATGTTGATAATAACTTAAATTTATGCTAAGCCACGTTGATATTTGTTTATGAAGAAAGAGTTCTATTTTAAGAAGGTTGGAGGAGAATTTTCAAATGAAACCTCTACTGATAATATGACTAATTAATAATTCTATATTCTCCATCTTGCTCTGTGTAGTACTGACCGTGGTCTAGACTAGCTCACATTAATTTTTAATAGTTAGGTGCGTATGGTTAGTGACATGGTACAAACTTTAGGAATTTAGTAGACCGCACAATTTGGTAGTGGCTTGGGCTGGAATGGTTCAGTCATGTTACCTAGAAGATGCTCAATTCTTTTACCCTTCCTGAGAGCAAATTCTTACATGGTAAGCTTCGTATTTTAGAATTGTAGCAAGCCAGAGTTTGATAATGAATTTACATATATTTGTTTTCAGTCTGTATTATTGGGATGTAATGCAGGGCGTTTGTACTCCGTGAGTACAAATTCCCCTATTTGATCCACCATCCATGATGAATTAAAAAGATCCAGACCAACTGCTGCTAATATATTTATTTAGAAATAAAGAATAAGTCCCTGTTTGTATCCCTCTTTAGAGTTTTTGGGGGAAAGCGAAATGAATATTTTGAATAGTGATTTTTTTTGGAGAATATTTGGTTAAAAAATAGGAAAAAGTTTTGGATTTATGTGCAAAATATTTATCGTGTGCAGAGGCGGATTTACCAAGCCCAGCCCTTGCCTCCAACCCACATGGTAATAAGGGAGGAATTTTATAGTTAAATTGGCCCAAATAACCATGTCTAGCCCAGTTTCATATTGTCTCCCAGCCTCAAGTCCAATTATCCAAATATTCTTTAATGGTATTACCAAATTAGTTTTTTATTTAATGCAGATTTTACTTATAATTATATATAACCTTTTATAATGAATAAAATTGTATTGATTAGAGCTAAAATAAATTACTTATTTTAATAGTAAGAGACAAAATGTTTGGCCGAGCTTAAGGTAATTAAATTTTTTAATTTTAAATATATTTTCATATATGAATATACTCATAAGAAAGAAATTTACTTATTTTGACCACGAAATTGATGTTACTATCAAAATAAATCAAACATGGATAAAATTTTTAACTCTTTTTTTTAGTTTCTTTATTGTTGGATACATATCATTTGTCTATGTTTATTATACTTCTATCAGTTTATATTTTTTAAAGTGAGTGTCAATTTTATCTTTCGCAAGAAAAAGTGCGAATATCTAGTGACACATCTTATGATGAGAATCTAGACTTATACTTAATTGAGGGTCTAATACTATTTATCATGAATGTAATAAACGCATTATTCTAAACTCGATCTCTGATAGCTTGAATTTATTTAAAAATTTTAAAATTTAGCCTACCCTTGAATCATTTCCTGGCTCCGCCCTGTGAGTGTGTGGTTGGAAATGAATTGGGGAAGAAAAAGCTTGTGAAAAAAAGGGAGACAAACGGGGCCTAAGTAACAATGTTTGGGGGTGGGGAATTAAGTTGAAAGTTTTAAGAGTTCCACTATTAGTTCCTCATCTCTGAACAATTTTTTTTTCTCCTTTTCTTATCTTGCTCTTTAGTCCTTTTCTTGTCTTTCCTGTTTGTTTCACTGTGTAACGATCAAAAGAGCACGACTTTCTTCCATATTTAAGCAGGAGTGTAGTAAATATCAGCCCATAATTGTTACAATCTTTAATCTTTAATTAATGTTACTTGGGACTATATAGTTTTTGTTTCTATTTTTGACTCAAACTTGTTCACGTTTTTTGAATGGCTTCAGTGCTCATGGGGTAACAAGCCAACACCACCTGGAGCGAGCTCAAACCCAATGCCACTCCCTGTTCCTTCACACATGCCAAACCTTTCAGCTGCTGAGCTGTTGGCTTATGAGCGGCAACTTGCAATGAGCAGAATGGGTGCCCTCATGCATGCCCAGGGGCAAGATCCTCTGAAGCAAACATCTATGGGAATGGGCGTCGGAGCAAGCCAGGCCATATATGATGGCGGTTTTCAGAACGTTGCTGCTGCCCATCAGCTCATGTACTACCAGTGATGTAAGGTTGATTCTATTGATATTTATGATCTGGGATAGATATGTTCACGATGCTCTGCTTGAGATTTTTTTTTCAACTTTATGCAATAGGTTGTAATATTTATCTTTGGGGATAATTTTCAACTTAATATATGGCTGCCATATGTATTGAAATACACTGATGTGCGTGCTCGTGTTTTGGTTATGTTAGGAGTGAGAGGCTTTATCATTGACGCGATTGTATTGTTTTAAGAAACCAAAATAGACTTGAGCTTGTAGTTTCTTTGTATTCGCTATTACTATTTGTATGTTCTCTGGGGCTTGAGGAATTCCGGGGTTATTATGGGTGTGTTTGAGCCCCTTTAATTTTGAAAAATTTGTTATGGAATAGTAGATTGATGGAGAATGTGGTGTTAAAAAAAAGGAAATTTTGATTTACGTGTAATATTATGTTAATGAAGAATGTGTGGTTAAAAATTAGTACTGTTGAAAAAATAATGTGGTAGAACGTAAGATAATAGATGACAAACGGGCTATATTCTATGGCGAAAAACTGTTAAATGGTGAGTTGGTGACAGCATATACTGGCTGGATGTAATAGACGAAAATGTTAATGTGGTCTCTGTAAATGGAAAAATGCTTGTTATACATTACCATTATTCTTTACAAATTGATGATGTGTTAAGAAGAGAGTATGGGAGCCCTTTTTTTATTTCATCAGATTTTGACCGAATTAAGTTCAACTATATATTTTATGGGTTTTACAACTTTTAAACAGTACATTATCATCTTTTATCAAAATTTATTAAGATGAAAATTGAATGTAAAATAAAAGAAACAAAGAAGAATTGAATTCCTCACACGAATTGACATCGATCTCTTTAATCTTTTGCTCAGTATAAACATGTATCAAAACAAAAATCAATTAGACTTTATTTTATTTTCAAATGGAAAGGGAATGTTGCAGCTAGGGTTTCTAACATTTTCAAAAGTGCAATGGGTACCCAAGCTTAAAATTTTGGCAGCGCTAGCCCAACCCTTTTCATAAAAGATGCAATCCTTACCTTTTGATGGAAATGTCCATTTCTTGTAATATTTGCAGTGCATGTGTAACTGTCACATAGACAAAAAGAGTACTTACATGATAATAATTTAAAATATTTAGAAAAAGAAATACTTGTTTGAGCCCCATTTTTTATTAAAATATATTTTGGAATAATGATTTATTTTTGTGTCTTGTGATAAGCAAAAGATGATATCTAATTAAACCAATACCAAATTGAAGGTGAAAATAAGAGATTAAGCCACATCATAAAGTAATCGATCACAAGAATACAAGTACAATGTAATCTTGCAGAGAATGGAGATTTTATTATAATATGAAGAAAGAATACAAAAATCATGTGTTTACAATGTTTCATCTAACTATATATAGGGAACAAACAGGGGACATTCAAACCCTTATAGTGTAGTTGTAATTGAAGTAGAATGCAAGAAACGAAGTCCAAAACGGAGTCGAGGAGAAAAATTGTGCAAAAAGCGAAACAGATGATATTATAATAACTACTTGTTGATCCTGTTTGACATGGAATCAGACAACAAATCCTCAACTTCTCACCTGTGCATCTCCCTTTTCAGTGTTCTGACCTTCCTTGCTTCCTCGCATCCAAGCTAACTTTATGTAGCTCCATCAAAGGGAATTAATACTCTCTCCCTCTCTCTGTCTGTGTGTGTGTTTTTCTAAGTCTGGTTCAACTGACGATCTTATAATAGCTACTCGTTGATCCTCTAGAAGGCATAAAATAATTGGAAATCTTTTCAAAATTTGCCCAGTTTGCTGTGAGTGATTGTGCAACTGGACAAATAACGGTGATAATTGTGGGAGCTCGTAACAAAATCATTGTCAATTTCAGATTTTTAACTATCAAATGACAACAAAAATTTTAAATTTTACATTTTTAGTTTTCTTTTTTAATTAACTATTGGTGGGCAGGGGTGCTCTCTTTCTTTCTTTATTCTTCTGGTGTTGAGGTGGAAATGTTGTGCTCCTCTGGAAGTTAGCTTTTAGATATGTGGGCTATGATAGGAATTTGCTTCTATATATGTTCCCATCTTCACCACTCTCAGGTATTTGTTGAAGCAATTTGCCTTTCAAACGTTAAGTATCTTGAATTTACAGAACAATATATTACCTAGCAGAATCGCAGTTTGCAACTGTTTTCTTTGACTAAAATATTCATTGGTTCCACGACTTTATCCATCTGATTAATATTTTCAAATATGCTTAAAGGAATTCTTATTGTTTGAGAGAGAGTACTCAATACTAGAGATGGAACTCAGAGTCCATTTCTTGATGAGCGGGGTGTAAAACTTTTGAGGTGCAAAGGTTCTGTAATCTATCTCGTTAATGTATAGTAATGTGGAGTTCTCGTAGTCTTGGCTTCTTTTCCAGCCTTTCTGCACGTCTCGTGTTGCACAATAGTCCGCGATTTCCCTTTTCCCTACTATATAAAAGAAGAGAGTGTGAAGTAACTGTAGAAATCAACAATGACTTCTTCCATATAGTCTCACTATAGCAATTTTTTTTTTCTTTTTTCAAATGGGGGAGCAAAAACGATGCCGTTTGTCTTAATATATATTTTATTATACTGTGTACCTTTAAATTTACTGCAACATGCAACTTTCCATACCTCCCACCAAGTCTCATAAAAAAAAAATTCAATTTTATATAAAAAAAATATTAAAAATAAAAATACTAATACTAATACTAATAATAAGATAAAAAAATATTACTAGAGCTTAAAAAGTTACTTAAGAAAAAAATTGCTAACTGAGTAAACAAAACTTATAATTGTAAAAGCTACTTATATATTATATAAATAAATTATTGTGGTTACTTAGATATTAGCTTTAAAATATATATATAAACTCTTTGCCTCCATGCATAGAGGCAAGACTCTCCGTGCACAGAGATTAAGAGGTTCTGTGCATGGAGACAAAATATGTCTCCATGCACCTTTGTATTTTTTTTTTCTTCTTTTCAATGTTATAAATAAATTTTGTTTCCAATTTAAAATTCTTTTTAACTTTTTTCTTCGTAATAAAACTTAATTTTTCAATTTTAACTAAATAGTTTTTATATATTCTTTATTTAATTTATTATATATTTTCACATAAATGTTTCTTCTCTTTTCTCTTTTTATATCTGGAGTTTAATGTTTCTTTTTTTATTATCTATTTTGTTATTTTTGTTTGTGTATAAATTCATCTGTTTTTTCTTGTGCTTTTATTATTTGTGTATTGTCTTTCAGGTGTCCAGATTTTTGATGAATTTGTTGAGGTTTTGAAGTTCCAAACTTTGAAGTTAATGGAATTGGTTTTATATTAATTGTCATGGATATATATAATGCATTTGGACGAGAGTAATAAAGTAGATTAGCAGAAGCAAAAGTTAGAACAAGTTAAACGTTTTATAGATGTGTCAAACTTTTAGTGTGATCTTTTTTGTAGACCATAAACATTGGGGGTTCATTGTTAATTAGTTGGAAGACGCATCTATAGCCCAATTGTAGTTCTTTTTCCATAACAAAATCCTCCCAACCTATAGTAAGACATCTTATTACTTCAGTTGGTCTTAAATTTGTGCTAATTCCCAATTGTGATGTAGAGAGTCGTGGATCTGAATGTTGCGCACAAATTTTGGCAAGTGTTGTCGGGCAAAACTTCCCAAGTGTTAGTGTTATTTCAAATATAGGATTATCAAAAGTGTTGCCTTCTTGGCCTTCTTCATCAGATTCGTATGTGACCTCTAGCCCAGAATGGTCAAATATAATCATATTTAGTGTGGAATTAGCATTATATTCGAATATTAGAACATAACCATCATGTAAATTATGATAGTCAAAAAATTGTTTCCATCCATCAGCTAGGTATATTTTTCCATCGACTCTTTTTAATCTAATGGTGACAATTATGCCATCATATGCAGTTGTTTTGTATCACCGAGTTGTCGCCTCCAGTCATTGACAAAAAATGTAGGAAGCATCTATATTATACATATAAAAATTACAAAAATATAAGCATGATAAAACATATATTAAAATGTGAAAGAAGCACTAACCAGACGAATATTGTGATTCAAGGAAGGGGTGATGATTATGAAGAAATGACGTGGAGCATCCATTTTATCTGATAAAGTGCTGTGAGAAAATTATTGTTAGAAGAATAATACTATTTGTTATGTGGAATATTTGAAGTATGGGTGAGTTGAATGAAAAAAAACCTGATATGCAAATTCTTGAGGTGAAAAATGAAGGTATTTATTTAGGCTAAAAAAAAGTGTACTTTGCTTTTTAAATTAGATTTGACAAGAGATTCACGGGTGGTATAATAGACAAATTTTTATTGAAAATACTGTCTTCTTATTATTCTCAAAAAAAAAATTGGATGAGTTTCCGTGCACAGAGGCAGTGCACGGAGACTTAGGCCTCTGTGCACGGAGTTTTTAGACCTCTATGCACATGGAGTCTTGTTTCATTTCTTAGGTACCGTTACATCAAGAAATCAATACTTCTCATTAATCAATTATAAATTTCTTCTGCCAAACAACATAATACAAGGAACAAGGAACCTGATTATCAAATTCATGCACGAACTTCAATCGAGAATTCCCAAATGAAACTGAAAACATCTATCCAAAATTACTTAATCTCGTCAAAATTTTTAGATGATTTCTTGCTAACATATACATGTTGTATGATGTCAAAAGAACGCATAAACTAACTCTTAATTCCAATTTTTACTGCAAGTGAATGATAATTAGATTTTTCCTGATTATATTTGTTTTTCTCATGATTACAAGTTATTCATTTGGCATGCTTTCAACTTAACATTTTGCTAAATAAATAATTGAAGTATGATGCCTATGCATACTTTGATAAATAATTGAAGCATGGTGATTTTTCTATGCATAGCTATAGATAGTATGTATTCTCCTTGGAGTTAGCATAATAATAAAAATAATTTTTTTTAAAAATTTTTTTCCTGACGTTGTCAGTATAGTATATTTTATTAATTTTTTTCTGTTTGAGGTCATTTAAGTTTTAAGGACTTGCATATCTTGTAGTTGACTTGCTTTCATAGTGATAATAGGTAGATGGACACCTACATTTTTCCAACTCCAAATTTTTGAATTTATATTTGATCAAGGCAACAAAACTCCAAGCAAATCAAAGATCGCATAGATAGTCTCTGAGTTGTCGTTATACAGCCAAATTTGTGACACGAATATTTATAATTGGTTTAAGAGTAGACGAGCTCATTCAAGAAGACCGTCCATACAAACACAAGATTCTTTTTTTATGTCCATTTACTTGTGTTGTTCTGTTTTTTTTTTATTTTGTTTTTTAGAACTGTGTTATTCTTCATAAATCTTATTTTTATGTTTTTAGGTTTTATTTATGATTGTGTTGAGTTTCACAAGGATGAAAGCATTTGTCTCGAAAAATAATCTGAAATGAAATATCAGAAATTTCTATTATTTTACGTGGTTCTAAAAGAATTGATTGCAAAGGAATAAATCTACGAGATATTTTGATCGAACTTTATGTTCTTCCATCTTGTATTATTTGTAAACATTTTGGTGCAAAAAAGTTTCATAAAGAAAGTAGGGACTTTTGTTGTTGTGATGGAAAAGTTAGATTACAGTTAAATAGTATTCCTCCTGAATTGTTTAAGCTATTTACTTCTACTTCATGTGAGGCAGTTGCTTTTAAGAAAGTTGCTCGTAGTTATAACAATCATTTTGCTTTCACTTTTTTTGGTGTTAAATATGATAAAAATTTGTGTAGAAATAATAAAAGTATATATACATTCAGAGTTCCGTGATAGGTGTACCATTTTATAAATCCATTGAACCCACATATTTACAGTTATACTTGTATGATACTGATTAATAAAATTACTAATAGACTAAAAAATTCTGACAGGTTATGTGAAACAATTTTGAGAAAGTTGATGTATGTCTTAAAGATGAATCCATATTATCAGTTTTTTCGATCAGTAAGTGAAGTTTCTGATTTTGGTTGATGTCATATTGTGTTTAGGTGTGATCCAAGTCTTGACCAAAGATTGTATAATATGCCATCGTGTGAGTAGGTGGCTGCAGTATGGGTTGATGAATACCCATCTGCAAGCCTTCAAAGTTATGATATATTAATTTATGGACATTCGAATACTGCACATAAAGTAAATTACTATTATGACTGCTATGATCCACTTCAATATTCATTAATATTTGCCTATGGAGAACCTGGATGGCATGAAAGTATCCAAAATGTCAATTTGAATACTTCTTCACTAATCCATGAAAATTTGATATAAATTAATAACATTGATTCCGCTGAACAACTTTTGAAAATGGAAGATTATGGTAAGTTTTATCATTTGTGAAATTGTTTTATATGTAATAAAAAGTATGTAATTTATTGATTTTCTCAATTTTTTTCTTCATATTTGTTTTCAGTTTTGAAGAAAACGAAGAAACCAATGACCGTATCTTGTAGAGAATATTATTGCTACAAACTTCAAGTGAGACTTTCAGATAAGTCTGTACTTCTTCATGCAGGCAAATTTTTGTAGCAATAAGTAGTAGATATACATGTTAAGATTGAAACTGCGAAATTGGATTATTTTCGTAATGATCAAAAGATTATAAAAACGGAATTTTACTAAAAAATTATAGATCGTGTACAAAGTGGTGAGAATAGAGGCTACAAGATTGGTAAATCAATAGTGTTACCAACAGAGTTTATTGGGGGTCTTAGAAATTTAACTAAAAAATATATGGATGTAATGTCTTTAGTTCAAAGATATGAAAAATCCGATGTATTTTTAACAATGACATGCAATTCAAATTGGCCTGAAATTAAATAAGAATTGAGACATAAAGATGAAATACAAAATAGGCCAGACTTTTTAGCACGAATGTTTCGAGCCAAGTTTGAGGAACTAAAAACAGATTTATTAAAGAGGAAAATTTTAGGGCATGTAGTTGCATATGTTTATGTGATTGGATTTCAAAAAAGAGGTTTGCCTCACATTCATTTTCTTCTTATATTTAAACCAACTTTTAAGATTATTAATTCTATGCAAGTTGATGAAATTGTTTCATGTGAAATACTAGATGAAAAGAAAAATCCTTACCTGCGTGCTGCTGTGATCAAACATATGATGCATGGTCCTCGTGGACAATTAAATTCTACAAATATTTGCATGAAAAACAATCATACTTGTAGAAATGAATATTCAAAAGAGTATATTTTGCATACTTCGTTAAGTAATGATTCATACCCGCTTTACAGACGTCGTAACGATGGTGTTACTGTTAGAGTCAGAGGATGCATGCTAGACAATAGATAAGTTGTGCCATATAATCCTTATATTTTAGCTAAATATGATTGTCATATTAATGTAGAAATGTGTTTTTCTGTTAAAGCTGTCAAATATTTATATAAATATGTATACAAAGGACATGACCGTGTTAATTTTGCTGTGAATAAAGAAACCAACGAACATTATATTGATGAAATTTGAAATTACCAAACTGCTAGATGGATATCTGCGTCAAACGCTATTTGGAGAATTTTTAGTCATTTATTTGACATATCTCCTTCCGTAATTTCTTTACAGCCACATCTTGAAAATTCTCAATTGGTTACGTACAATGAAACTGATGATTTATTAGAAGTTATAAATAAAGACTTTATTCAACGAACAATGTTAACTAAATTTTTTGAAATGAATATTTTTGATGAAAAGGCTCGGATTTCACTTTATAAAGATTTTCCTACATACTTTGTACGGAATACATATTTGCGAGTTTGAAGTCCTAGAAAAAAAGAAAATGTTATTGGTAGAATTGTTGTTGCTAATCCATCTGAGGGTAAGAGATACTTTTTATGAGTTTTACTAAATCATATTAAAGAGTCAAAATCTTTTGAAGATTTAAAAACAGTTAACGGTGTTGTAGCACCTACCTATCGCCAAGCTGCATTCTTACATGGTCTAATAAATTGAAGTAATTATTGTGACATGTTTTTGACTGAGGCAATTTCTTATCAATTGCCTGTATCACTGTGTCGACTTTTTGCTAATGTACTGATTTTTTGTGCCCCTACGAATTCTAGAAATTTGTAGATTAAATTTAAAGCTTGTATGATAGAAGATACAAGTCGGACAAAGTATGATGCTGAGATTAGAGCTCTACGGTGCATAAATTCATTCTTAGAAGTTGTTGGTAAAAGTGTAAATAATTTTTGCTTTACGGATTTCGACATTACTATAAATGACGCTGACATGTTAGCAAAAATGATTTTAGAAGAAAGTGCAAATATTAATGTTGAGTCTGATATGCATTTTACAAAAAGTTTAAATAAAGAGAAACAATTTGCTTATGATACTATTTTAGATTGTGTTTTGAACGATAGAAATGGAATTTTTTTTATTGATGGTCCAGGAGGTGCTGGTAAAACTTATTTGTACAAAGCATTGTTTGCTACGGTATGATCTGGACAACTCATTGCATTAGCAACAATATAATCAGGAGTAGTTGCTTCTTTATTGCCTGCTGGAAGAACTGGTCATTCGCGTTTTAAAATTCCTCTTCAAATAAGTCATGATATGCGATGTTCAGTAAGTAAACAATCTGCACTTGGTCAGCTTTTAAAAATGACGAAACTAATTGTGTGGGATGAAGCACCAATGGTTAATAAGTATACTTTTGAAGCTTTAGATAAAATATTAAAAGATATTACTGAACGTGAATTGTCATTTGGTGGAAAGGTCATTGTGTGTGGAGGGGATTTTCGTCAAGTTTTACCAGTGGTGCAAAGAGGAATAAAAAGCGATATTATCAAAGCAAGTTTAGTATTTTCATATTTGTGGTAGTACTCTATACAACTACCGTTAACTGAAAATATGAGAGCTAGATTGGATCCTTCGTACAGTGAATATTTACTCAAAATTGGAAACGGAATTGAAAAAGAGCATATGTGTCGCATGATTAAGCTTCCTTCAGATATTGTCATAGATATTGAATATGAACTTAAATCATTGAAAAAGTTGATCAGCATTATATTTCCGAATTTTCGCACTTATAGTGATAATTTAAATACTATGATGAATAGAATTATTTTAACTCCAAAAAATGAATATATAAATATGATAAACAATATGCTAGTTAAAGAAATTCCAGGAGATACATTTACATATTTTAGTTTTCATGAAGTAATTGATAAAATTGAAGGGTTTATTCCTGAAGATTTTTTGAATCGTTTAACTCCAAATGGTATTCCTCCACATGAACTTGTTCTGAAAAAAATTTATCCTGTTACGTTGCTCAGAAATATTAATTCTTCGGAAGGTTTGTGCAATGGAACTATACTCATTTGTCGTGAATTTAAACAAAATGTCATTTTAGTTGAAATTGGATCTGACGAATAACTGGAAAATAAGTATTTTTACTTAGAATTCCATTTATTCCACTTGAAGGAGATAAGCATTCAGCACCCTTTAAAAGAACTCAGTTTTCCATTCGTCCTTGTTTTGCTATAACTATTAACAAGGCTCAAGGTCAAACACTAGATTTTGTAGGACTATATCTTCTTGAACCTGTGTTTTTCACATGGTCAGCTATACGTTGCATTGTCTAGAAAAAAAAAGACAAAATATAAAAATTTTGATTAAGCCAACCGACGAAAATAAATCACATACGTGTTGCACAAAAAATATGGTATATCTGAAAATTTTGAATTTAATACATAATATGTAACAAGTCTAATATTGTAAATTGTCCAACAATTAATCTGTCATCCCGTTCTTGCCCAAAGAGGAGATCTTATACATCATGTTTCAACAGAAGAATAATGGTGAGTTACAAAAGGTTAGTTATTTTCATATTTTTTTTAATTATAATTATATTTTGCTTGCTAATATGCTTGATTTTTCTTTTTCATTATCTTTCTTATTTAAAACATAAATATGAATTTTTAACCTATAAATTGATGAGGAAAGAAACCATGCAAACTTTTGATATTATAACGTTTAAATTGTATCCATTGTAATGGCTCATACTAAAATTAAAATACTGTCAATTTGTTTAGGTTATAATGATTTCACCACAGTTTAATTTTTTCTATAGATGCACCAACAGTATGACAAAATAGAAAAAAAAAAAACACAATAAAAACTTATTGCATGACCTTTTACCAAAGTGTATTATCATTACATGACCTAACTAGGGACGAGGATGAAGATAATATTCATTGTTACAAATATCCACTACCATCTTCCGTCTATAAATGGACATCATATCAGGTGAAACTAATTCTATTGGCTACCTTAGGACAAAACATTCTATATATTTTAGTACGAACATTCCACAATTTGGTTTGTAGGACAAACAGTTTTACGTTAAGTTAAATTAGTATGAGAGAAAAATTAAATATTATAACAAATAGAGAGCTATTTAAATGCTCACTCATTGCCTGCACATGGTAAATAAGGTATAGTCTCCAGTTGCATTGCTTTAGTTCTGTGTTTACTTACATCCTTTCTGGTGGAAAGCTCAGAATTCAGAATGAATGCATGAATCGTACTATGTGTTGCTCTTGCATGTGTCATAAATTGATTTGGTCTAAGAATACCATGGCTACAGTCATATATTGGAAATTCTCATTTAGGAATATTCACCACAAAAAAATACTAACAATTACTAGGAAATGAGCATGAAATTAATAAATGTTTGCACACCATCCATTTACGACCATTTATAGGCAAATCACCATTTACATATTCTTCTACCATAGTGAAGTCTACTTCACCCTTAGTGGCTTTCTTTTTCTCTTGTATACGCCACGTGAAAAGATGAGAACACTCATCTTCAAATTTGAAGTCTATAATTGCCTAGTCTTTAGAAATTAGGGTAGAATCATCCTTAATAAGTCGCTTTAATAATTTCAACTCAAGCTCAATACTCTAATAGAGTAAATACATATAGATTTAATTTATTGATATTAAGCATAAAATTAAATTAATTGTAATTACTACACTTTACTCACCGTGACATTTACATCTTTGGTTACATCCAATAAATTTTTCAACATGCCCCTTCTAATGAAATTGCCTATGTCGTCCTCCTAACGTGTATTGTATAATTTTTTTTTAATTAATATTAGATAATATAATTTACTATCCACTGAATAAAAAAATATAGTATTTAAGCTAATAGAGTAGAGTTAGATTTGTTATCCTGATGGATTATACAATATCCAATCTCTAATCACGCTTTACTTATCCTTTGGTTAGTCTTCTAAAGGACGGCTTTTTGATGATGAAGATTGTATCTGTTTTTCCTTACTTTTTTTTTCTCGTCTCGACCCTTCAAAACTTTTTTGTCTGTTGTTGAGATGTTGATGTTTGCTTTGCCAGATCACTAAGAATTGAAATTGTGTGGATAGGAACATCTTGTTGCATAGAACCAATAATGACTTCTATGTTTGATTCCCAGTTAGATACATCGTTCAACGCATTCTTGTTCTGTTCATCTACATAAGATCTCATTGAACTTAAACTGGTATCAACATAAGATTGCATGCTCCCTAAAATATTATCTTCTTACCATTTTTACTGCTATTGAAATTCTTATTGGAATACTTGTTTGTGGCTGTCAAAAATAATATCCATATAAGAACGAATACTGAATAACATGTGATCTTCTTGCCATTTTTGGTGTTGTTTAAACAACTGGTTTTGGTTGTGAATTATTTCTTCCTTCAAGTTATGGCATACACCAGACACATATGATATTACATTTTGCCTATGTATTCCCAGCATTTCTTCCATTTGTTCTCTAGTTATATGGTTGGAAGCATCAAAAGTAGAAGCAGAACTGGGGCCAATTCCATGAGAAGTTCTCGAACTACTGGGAATGGTTGTTTCTTGCACAAAGATATTTTCCAGGATTTGTTGTATTATGTTGTCTAATTCCCCATTGACAATATCATCTAAGATGTTACGTTGATTATCAGCTGACATTGAAAGAGTTGTATACCATGATATTTATAACTCTTCTTCTGTGGGATATAACACTGCATATAACGACCCGGGCCTCTGTATCCAAACTGTTAGCCTACGTACTATTCGCTTCGGGTGGGCCTTACGCCCACTTACCCCTCACGATTTTCTGTCGCATCCCTCAGAATTCGAATTCATAATCTTTCCCTTAAGTAAGACTTAAACGTAGGTTAACAGTTTGGGTACAAAGACCCGGGTCGTTACAAAAAAACGTGCATTTTTTGTAATGACCCCAGTCTTTGTACCAGGATTCAACTTAAATCTTACTTAAGGGAAAGGTTACGAGTTTGAATTCTAAGGGACGCGACAGAAAGTCGTGAGAGGTAAGTGGGCGCAAGACCTACCCAAAGCGGACAGTACGTAAGCTAACGACTTGGGTACAAAAACTCGAGACGTTACACACTGCAATTAAGTCAATCTGTAATCATAATAAAATATTGGTGCTAAATTTAGTTTTTAAATAATTAAATGTAAATGTAATTGTGCATTCATAAAAAAAGTATGTTATACCTCTTTGGTAGCAAAAAATTGTTTAACCATTTGCTCAGTCAATATTGTATTGGGTCTCCACTCATACATTCAGGGACTTTGTGGTGTTTTGTATCTCTTGCGTCCAAACTTTTTTCCAATCTTTGGAAAGGCTTCATATATCCAAAACTACAAGATAATTAAAAATAATTATAATCATTTCTTATACGAATAAGTTATACATAATAAATATATCAATAAAAGAATAGAAAAAAATTACATGGAATACAAGTGAATATCCTCTTAATGCATATTTACAATCTGTTTGTTGGTTTTGTTCTACTCTTTGCACTCTTTCCATTTTTTATTTTTGCAATGAATTTAACAAAACAAAATATGTTTTTCGACCATGCCAAAAGTCTTATAATCAATAATTTCGCCAGTTGGTTTCAAAACACACTCCACAAACATAATCAACCCCACTTAAATTTATCTTTGTCGTCTTCGCATGAATGGAACGCTTGGCACAACATTCTCATAGTAATTCTTCTCGTACCATTGAAGTAATGATTTATAAGACGATAGTTATTATGATTAATCTCCATAGATGATTCATGACATGATAATCCAGTAATGAGACAATATTTTTGCATGCCAAACCTGACAATACGATCACCTAATTGTACCCAGACTTCATTTTTTTACCACAACGTACAAGCCTCATTAAAATCATGTATCAACCCACTACTAAATTTGTTCCTCTTCTGCCCTATAAATTCGTAGAAATTACTATACATAGCGGAAGTTTATTGATTTGCATCTCTAAATTCAATAAACACTTTGAGATATTCCCAATTTGGATATTGACAAATAGTAGAAAACCATTGATTTGGAGGCACAATATATTCTAGAGACATTTGCATAAACAAATCCAATAAAAGTAGTAGACAAATTTATATCTATAAGAATTTCATAAATTCTAACTCTAGATCTACACCTTATAATGGCAACAATTCAAGTGTTATTATCTATGTTTTCAGATGATTATAACAAAATAATACTATAATTTCAAGACTTTACACTTGAAGCATACTCGGGTCATGAAGATGAATAGAACGGGGACTAGACTGCTTATAAATGAATAACTAAGGTTACAATTTTCCCTTCATGTTGTATCTTTCTTTTTTCTGCTTCTTGGAACAAGGCAACTGTCTTATTAAATAGAGATTTTATTTTGAGAGTGGTTATAATTTTTAGTTTATTTTGCTGATAAAGATTATTAGTTGTGGCTGCAGTAAATCCCACTTCTGAACATATTTTAGTATGAAATCTAAATTATTTTTAAGAAGAAAATGTGTTTCAATTAAAAATCTACTTACCAGAATATCATTGCACTTGTTAATGTCTTTATTACTTTGTATTTACATGAAGCACAAATTACTAAATTTTGATGTTAAAGTATGTGGAATAAACTCCATGGACGCTAGCACACATGCACACGCAGGGAGAGAGCACAAAGAGAGGTCTCCGTGCTTCGCTGCTCTCCGTGCATAGATTGCAGCACCTTGGACACTTTTTTCTCTGCTTTGAACACCTTTTTCTTGCAAATGTGAGAATGCTAAAATTTTAGTATGATTGGGAGAAAATGTAAGAACTTTCAGATGTGAGAATCAATTTATGTTTCATGACTTTTAGTAATTGAGGTAATAAGTAGACATAATAGTTGGAGGAATATTATTTTGTTGTTTTGTGAGTTAGTTGGGATAATAATTGTAGGAGATAATTTTTTTTTTGACTTTTATTTATTTATTTATTTCATACTTATAATCAACATATTCACTCACATTTATATTCAAACTAATAACTAATTTCATCATATTGTTCTTACATTTACACAACGTAACATAAATACATTTTCTAAAAACTCTTTCATCATAAATTAGCCATTGTTGTACTTATACTGAAACTAAAACTTTACCTCCCCAATGCCCCATATCTATTTACGGAAGTTATTACTCAATAAAGTATGGGCACGATGAAAATTTACAGATATTGTTCTTCTTTACTGCAAACTATAACATAGCTTTATTAGTTGTATATAGTACAAAAAACAGATGTAATATTATTTTATATGTTTTACTCTGATAATTAATTCAATTCATCTTAGTATTACAAGTTTACAAGTAATCCCCATACATTATACCACAACGACGTATGACTATATATTAGATATATATAATATGCATTCTTCCACTAACGAATTTTTATCTTTTCATCTATTAGTATAACACTATCCAAACAAGTCTATATGATTCGAATATCACTGCATTTGAAAATGAACTTGTTCTTGGAAAAACCTATGCAATCTCAAAAGCTTATGTTAAAAATAACACTGGAAAGTACAAATATACAACATGAGCTCTACAGTGGACGATTTCTGGAGAAACTCGTGTTTTCTTTGAATGATGATAACCTTGAACTTGTTTTCTCAACCTATCACCTGACTTCTTTTGATGAAGTTGAGCAGTTCATGGATACAAACACTGACATAAGTAAAAAAATTGCATCTTTATTTTCGGAATAAATAATATATTATATTTAATTTAATCAAATAATTAGAATTACAAGCAAAACAAAAAAAAAATTATTTATTTTTCATTTTGCAGACTTCTTGGCAATTGTAATTGATATGATATCTAAACGATTGATTCAGTCAAAGGACAGCAACCAAACTTGGGTACAGGATGTAATACTTCTGGATCAAAAATTCAAAATAATGATGTTAACACTGTGAGTTTGATTTGTTGACAAAGAATACAAATTGATGGCAGAAAATATTGACAAAAAATCAGTAATCTTTGCATCAAACCTAAAAGTCACCTCA